CCGGGATGGGGTTGTATGCTCTCTTGCCCTCTCTCTTTCTCTCTCCCTCTTGAACTGGTACCCTCTGGCAAAATTAATCCCCCTCCCGAAGTGGAGGACATGTTCACACTGCCGCACACGACAACCTGTGCTGTGAAGGACCAGGCAAAGACAGAAGAGTCAGAGCTGTGCCGGAGACATTACCCCGCTGTGGGTGCCCAGAGGAAGGTCCTGATCCATTTAAGAGAACGCGCAAGAAGGCTTCCTGGAGAAACCATAGAGTGCAGATGGGTCTCTGTTTGGAGTTCTAGATTCCACTGAAGAATCTGTGAAAAGCTCTGGACAGGAACCAGCAGTTGGCGTGATGGCTATGTTGCTGGACTCCCATGTAGTCAACCCTGGTTCAAGTCCCGGACCTGGTGGCTTAAACTCACACCGGGCGTGTGTGCATGCATGCCCAAGATCCCGAAAGGAGAATGGAGGAGAAGGGATTGCGGTGGCCATCCCCCCGGAGGGCGATTTCTCGCTTTCTGTCTCTCTCTGTCTTTCTGGAGAGCACATGCACCCTATAGCAAAAACCTAACCAAAAAAAGAAAGAAAAGCTCTGGACAGTCACAGAAGGAAAACTCACAAACGTTTTAGGCTATTTCCAAATATTCCTATTTCCTCCCTGGGGAGGTCCTGCGGGCACCCATTTCCCTCTACTGTCACCTAGCTGTATACATGTCCCAGGAGTGGGAACAGGGTGGCTCACAGTGCCAGGGATCACAGGAGACCTTTTAGCATCCAGGGAAAGGAGGCCATAGGGGTGCTGTTTTCTGAGAACCACGCATCCCTCGCACCCTGCCTGGGCCTGGAGGTTGTGGCAAGTATCCTTTTTATCTAGCCTGCGTCCCCCCACTAGCCCCGGCTCTGGCGCTGGGGCTTTTGGCATCAACTGGGACCGCCGCGTTCTCCTCTGGAATGTCCAGAGGGAAATAGTCCAGCCGGTCACCATGTTCGTAGGGCAAGTGTCGCAGCGCCCCCTGATGGTCACCGCGCTCCTGTGCATTCCGAGCCGG